ATGCCAAATGAGCACAGCCTCGCGAGTGCCCTGTATTCCGCAGTATTTTGTCGAAATCCTAACAATGGCGAATTTTTCGACTTTGCGGATTGATCGGTGGGCTTGCCTGAAGTTTGCTGAGTCTTGGAAAAAGGCAGGTGAAAATGTGAATGCCATTACACGTATTTACATCATGCTTTATGTAACGTAGACAAAAATTGTGTGAGAATTGCATTGTTATTTTGATCTAATTTGCCGCGAGGCAATAGGCCGTGCTGGTTCAACGTGTATCATAAGCATAAAATATCTTGTAAGTCCATTTTTCGCTTCCTGAGTGCGGAGTGCTGGCGCTGCTTCGCATCTAATGACCTTCCTTCTGCCAGGCTGCAATCAGTGTGGTAGCGGAGCACAAGTGCAACGAAAATAATCGGACTAATGGCACAAATGATTGTAGGATTGCTGGTTCCGATTCAGAGGTGCGATAGCGATAGATTGAAAAAAAAATCATTGCATCCTCCCCTCCCTTAGCTCATGCTTTAGCTAAAATCCTACATAACTGTTCCAGCACAAACAAAAGATTATGCTCACATGCGTACGACAAGGACATTACCTATGCTGCAACTCCATACATATGCCCCACAAAGATGGTGTCTGTATGTGTGTGTGGACCCCGTTTCCAGCTCAGTCTGAAGTCAGAAATAGGTGAGCCAATGGTGCCTATATGGCGATGACTCAAATCTGAGGTCTTGAATCTACACCGACTTGCAGGATGCATGTGTCACCATCAGGTCAAAGGTAGCCTCAGTCATAGCACGGGCATTAATGCGTGTATTGAGGCTATTGAAGCACACATGACACACCATGTATCGTTAGCAAGCAACAACACTGCAAGTGCCTAGGCCGACATGCGGGATTCTCATACCGCCTTAAGGGAATAAATATACCCAACGTAACCCGGCATACTCGTCAGTCGCCCACAGAAAAGTTATCACAAACCAAACGGACCAGTGTCATTGCTAGAAAACAGGCAAGGAAGACAAGAGCCCTACTACTGGGCCGTGACCGCCGTCAACCAATTAGCGGATTCTACTGCGCCGCAACCGAACGCTCATTGGTCCGTGACAGCTGGCCGCCGACCAACTGGCGGACTTTGCAGCATCGCAACCGAACGCTCATTGGTCCGTGACAGCTGGCCGCAGGCCATCAACAATGCAAACATCACAGCAACGGTGTGTCACGGAGCCTTGTGATGTCTCGGAGGAGCACCAGCTGGCTAGAACACGCACCGCAAGCCAGCACGGCCGGCAGAGCACTACGCGCCGTGAACACGCGTACAGGCACGGACGACTACACTGCGCGACTGGAGATAGAGCAGTGCATGGCTCCGCGTCAAAGTGGATTCCGCCCGGTCAATCTATTCTAAGTGCCGTTATACATTGGTATAGGTGCAGCCATCTACGTTTACATTGTGCGGTGTCAGTTACCAAAGCAGCAGCGGCCGTTGCTCGAAAAGAGGGGCAGAAAGTGCCGGGCGAAATATAAGCGGTCGGTCCAAACGAAATTCACACAGCACTGCACTCCACGAGGTGAAAAGGGCGTGCCTATCGGTCAGGAACATCTCGGAAGGAGCCGCCGCTGATCTCATTAAAATTACCCACCTTCATATCCGAGTGTACCGATAACAACACGTGGCGAACCGCACACAAAGCTGAACTGGTGACAGCAGACACAAACCGTAAGAAGCAGTAATTTAGAGCATAGCTTACCTTTATACAGGCCAGTAGCGCCACGGAAACAACGACAGATTTGAGTGGACGGGACAACGTCCAACGAATCCTGTTGAAGCAAAAAATGACAGACTAAATACCAGGGTCATCCTGAGCATGCAAACAAGGCATTGGATGACGTTTCACTAGTTTAGGCCCATTTAACATTTCTCAGTGCCTATCTTTTTCAAATCGGTTGGAAGGATTCATAGCAGAGCTGGAACTGCAAGTTTTCATTACGAAAACAGTACAACACGGCTACAAGAACGCATTTAAAATATTAGCTGTTCACTACAAAGTGTTATTGCCCCCAGAGACAAAAGCCCACATTGCAGAAAGCACACCAAGATACTGTGTGACACACTGCTTACGATTAGCCTTTGCAGCTGCTGCCAACTTGCCAGACGATAGACTTAACCAGACTGGTGCGCGATATTACACCGCCCGTCACCCCGCAGCGTGTCAGCGGCTTTGCGGAGCCGGAGCATGCCACTAAGTGATGTCAACGCACCGAGGAGCCAGGCTCAGTGGCTGGAGTGCAGCCATACAACTTAGAACCCTCAAATAGCAGAGCAGATGCCAACACCAGCGAGCGGTGGGACTGCCGGCACGTGTGACGTTACGGAGGCACCGCCGACCACGTGTGACGTCACCGAACTTGGCGGCCGGACCCGGCAGCGGACACCGAACCCCGGCCGACCGCAAAGCCGCCCTCCTAGCAGTGCGACTCGGAAGCGTGAACGTCTCCGAAGTCGACCAGGAGGCGCGCGCGCAGCTGCAGCGTCTGCGGCAGCTTGGCCTCGGCCGTGACGATGTGTTGTTGGTGTAGCGGTAGTGGAGCAGGAGAGCGGCCGTGGCGCGGCCGGCGCCGGCGGTCGGGGAGCGGCCGCACGGCCAGCCGCACCGCTACCTTGTTGGCCTGGCGCCACACACCACGCTGAGGAGGGCCGACGGCGGCGTCAGTCACGGAGCTGGGCGCCCGCCCCGCCGGCCAGCCCATCAGCCACCACCGTCACCGCCACACACGCCACACATTTTGCACTGAAAACGACTCACTGCGATGTACTGTTAAGGCACCAAGATTCTAAAGCCCTCACCACGTCTCCTACTAACGACGAAGACAGGCAGCTGTATTTTCCGTCACGATCCACTGCGGTACAATTGTACGCTTCATATTGCTGTTGGGGGGGGGGGGGGGGGAACCCCGAACGGTGAAGCGTCCCATAGCCTTCACATCGCACCGCTGCGTGTTATGCATTGCAGCCACGCGTTTTCGAGCCGTACGTTGCTGAGCATGCTCACTAGCGAGCATGCGGTTATTTACTGATGGACACAATCAGCCAGTAGGGCTCAGACAAGCACTTCTCACACTGAAATGTGCGGCAAGCTCACATGCACCCGTTTCGATGCGCGAGCAGCACGGCCTGAATTTTACAACAGCCGATTGAACAATAATTAAATCACGCATTAACTCATTATATAATGCGATGGGTGGCTCTCCAGTCATCTGAACTCCTGAACCGGCTCAGCATGACACCTTAATCTGGCGCCGTGCATGTCCTGACCTGGGGTCGTCTCGGAATTCAGACGACGTGGGCGCCTCGTCAAACTCGGCGGAGTCGTCCCGCGGAGCCAGCACGATCTCGGCCTCCGGCAGCGTCAGCTCCGCCGTCTGGACTATGTTCGGCTCCACCCTGCCACGGAGGTCACAGGTCAAGGACACCTCTGCCCGTACACGCCTGGCTCCAGTCTGCCCCGACATTCATGTGATGCATGCTAATGCATGGTGAATGTCGAGTGGTAACCAAGCCATCGTCCGGCACCGCCTTTACGAGCCAAGTTGGATGTAAAAAGCTGCATCCGCAACGCAAGAGCGATACCTTGCAGGAGCATAGTGGATCAGGCAGTAAAGAAAACCCTGCCAACGACCGTTTACGGCGCGCATTTCCCCTCCCATAAATGTATAATGGTGTTGCGCCCACTCACGCACGCAACCATGATGGGGACAGCCCAGGCTCGAACACCTCACCACGTGGGCTCTCCTGACCTCAACATTGCTCTCCTGACCATCACACCTATCTCCCACCTTCACACGCTCTCCGACCTTTCATGCTTCTTTCCGGACCTTCACATTGCTCTCCTGCCTTCACACCGTTTTCCTGACCTTCACATTGCTCTCCAACCTTTACACGTTCTCTGACCTTCACATCGCTCTCCTGACCTTCATAACATCCCTACCTTCACACTGCTCTCCTGACCTTCATACTGTTCTCCTGGCCTTGACACCTTCTTCTGGCCTTCACACCAATCCCTGGCTTCACACCAATCTCCTGCCTTCACATCGCCTCCTGACCTTCACACCGCCTCATCCGCTCTCCTGACCTTTTCAGGGTGACCGGTCGCAGCAGAGACGATTCCTTGTGTTCCGGGTCCGGATCCTCCCGCAGCTCCTCCTCGTCGGATCCCGATACGTCTCCAGACGGATCGCCATCTGTGGATCCAGATGCGCCCGACCGTCAGCAAGTTTTATCTCTCGCAGTTGGTTGCATACCTTGACCGCAATTTCTGTGGACTTGATCTTGGGATCAGGAACTGCAGTGAGCACACGGAGTATAGTGACGGAACCAACTGAAGAAGAATGAGAGCGAAATGGCGGGTCCACGTCTCCGACTGCCAGCGAAATGGCAGGACACGTCTCCGACTGCACACATGTCTGAGGCCAACCGAGAAGCCTGCGAATCAGCTCGGAGTGCTGGGAAAGCAGGCGAGAGCACGCCTCCAGTCAGACATAACGAACATGGATGGTCCACTGGCAACGGCGCAGCTGATCGAAGAGGTCAGCTCGCGCGTCCTCGCTACCCCCAACCCCTGACCAGCCACCGGCGCACCACCTCCAGCCCGCCGGACCCACCACGCTGAACGCATCTCCCAACACAACGCGCGCTTGCCAGGGGTCGAACTCAGCGTCCCGCTCCCCGGCCTCGTGACTCAGCACCGAGGTCTGGTGGGGAGGGATAGGGGGAGGGGGGGGGGGGCAGCCCCAACGGGTCCACTGACCGGGTGGCTGATGGGGTTGGTCTGAGGAGAGATGGGCGGGGGGGGGGGGGATTAGCCCCGGATGGCCCACTAACCGGGTTGGTTGATGGGGTGGGTCTGGGGAGAGATGGGCGGGGGGGGGGAGATTAACCCCGGACGGCCCACTGACCAGGTGGCTGATGGGGTGGGTCTGGGGAGAGATGGGTGGGGGGGGGGGGGATTAGCCCTGGATGGCCCACTGACCAGGTGGCTGGTGGGGTTGGTCTGGAGAGAGATGGGTGGGGGGGGGGGGAGGGGGGGAGGGGATTAGCCCCGGACGGCCCACTGACCGGGTGGCTGGTGGGGTTGGTCTGGGGAGAGATGGGGGGGGGGGATTAGCCCCGGACGACCCACTGACCGGTGGCTGATGGGGTGGGTCTGGGGTGGAGGGGGGGGGGGGGGCAGCCCCGACGGGCCCACTGACCGGGTGGTTGATGGGGTTGGTCTGGGGAGAGATGGAGATGGGGGGGGGGATGAGTCAGCCCCGGACGACCCACTGACCGGGTGGCTGGTGGGGTTGCAGAGCGTCAGCACCGCCTCCGTCTCCTGACCGGGCACCAGCTCGCCCACCGACAGGATCTTGACGTCCGGCACGTGGTAGCTGCCGGGCAGGGAAGCTGACGTCACGACACGGCCCCGCGCGGCCGGAACACCCGCGTTACCGGACCGGCAGGCCGGGGCCTCCACACTCGACCGCCCCCTATGGCGTACGGCACGCCACAAGCTAGCTGGCACAGAAGGTATTCGTGTCTGCGACCTCCGTCGTCACCTCCGTTCTACATCAGTCGGTTCCGACCGCATGGCGCATGCCAACGTGACAAATCACAAAACGATGGCTTGAAACACAATCACTACATGTCACACAACACTACATCAGGCCAATGGGTGTTCATTAGCCAAGCAGGTGGAACGCCCGTACATCCGATCCATCGCCACTGCGCCACACCACAGCCCGGCACGCTACACCGTCCCACAGCACAACTGACAGCATCCCAGGCGATGCTGCCTCAGCTCCACACACGGTGTGACGTCATCACAGCCGGGGGGGGGGGGGGGGGCGGGCGTGAGGCGCCATCGGACGCCGCCGACTCACTAGGCGTTCAGCTGGATCCTGAACTTGACGCTGATGGCGCTGTACTCGGGCTTGCTAAGGTTGTGGTCGCAGTAGCGGCAGCGCATGGAGCGCTTAAGCTCGGCGTGCTTGTGCTGCGGCTGGAGCAGGTCGTGCCGGGGCGTCTGGAACTCGGGGAAGGCCAGCCGCTGGTCGAGCGTCGTCGCTGGCGGCCAGAGAAGGCGGCCGTCAGTCGGGCCACACACAGTACGGTCAAAGGGCGGCCGTCAGTAGGGCCGCACACAGCGCGGCAAGAGAGCGGCCGTCAGTGGGCTGCACACAGCACGGTCAGAGGGCGGCCGTCAGTCGGGCCACACACAGCACGGTCAGAGGGCGGCCGTCAGTGGGCCGCACACAGCACGGCCAGAGGGCGGCCGTCAGTGGGCCGCACACAGCACGGCCAGAGGGCGGCCGTCAGTCGGGCTGCACACAGCACGGTCAGAGGGCGGCCGTCAGTCGGGCCACACACAGCACGGTCAGAGGGCGGCCGTCAGTCGGGCCACACACAGCACGGTCAGAGGGCGGCCGTCAGTCGGGCCACACACAGCACGGTCAGAGGGCGGCCGTCAGTGGGCCGCACACAGCACGGCCAGAGGGCGGCCGTCAGTCGGGCCGCACACAGCACGGTCAGAGGGCGGCCGTCAGTCGGGCCACACACAGCACGGTCAGAGGGCGGCCGTCAGTGGGCCGCACACAGCACGGCCAGAGGGCGGCCGTCAGTGGGCCGCACACAGCACGGTCAGAGGGCGGCCGTCAGTCGGGCCGCACACAGCACGGTCAGAGGGCGGCCGTCAGTCGGGCCGCACACAGCACGGCTAGAGGGCGGCCGTTAGTAGGGCCGCACACAGCACGGCCAGAGGGCGGCCGTTAGTAGGGCCGCACACAGTACGGCTAGAGGGCGGCCGTTAGTAGGGCCGCACACAGTACGGCCAGAGGGCGGCCGTTAGTAGGGCCGCACACAGTACGGCTAGAGGGCGGCCGTTAGTAGGGCCGCACACAGTACGGCCAGAGGGCGGCCGTCAGTAGGGCCACACACAGCACGGTCAGAGGGCGGCCGTCAGTCGGGCCACACACAGCACGGTCAGAGGGCGGCCGTCAGTCGGGCCGCACACAGCACGGTCAGAGGGCGGCCGTCAGTAGGGCCACACACAGCACGGTCAGAGGGCGGCCGTCAGTCGGGCCGCACACAGCACGGTCAGAGGGCGGCCGTCAGTAGGGCCACACACAGCACGGTCAGAGGGCGGCCGTCAGTAGGGCCGCACACAGTACGGTCAGAGGGCGGCCGTCAGTCGGGCCGCACACAGCACGGTCAGAGGGCAGCCGTCAGTCGGGCCACACACAGCACGGTCAGAGGGCGGCCGTCAGTCGGGCCACACACAGCACGGTCAGAGGGCAGCCGTCAGTCGGGCCACACACAGCACGGTCAGAGGGCGGCCGTCAGTCGGGCCACACACAGCACGGTCAGAGGGCAGCCGTCAGTCGGGCCACACACAGCACGGTCAGAGGGCAGCCGTCAGTCGGGCCGCACACAGCACGGCCAGAGGGCGGCCGTCAGTCGGGCCACACACAGCACGGTCAGAGGGCGGCCGTCAGTCGGGCCACACACAGCACGGTCAGAGGGCGGCCGTCAGTCGGGCCGCACACAGCACGGTCAGAGGGCGGCCGTCAGTCGGGCCACACACAGCACGGTCAGAGGGCGGCCGTCAGTCGGGCCGCACACAGCACGGTCAGAGGGCGGCCGTCAGTCGGGCCACACACAGCACGGTCAGAGGGCAGCCGTCAGTCGGGCCGCACACAGCACGGTCAGAGGGCAGCCGTCAGTCGGGCCACACACAGCACGGTCAGAGGGCGGCCGTCAGTCGGGCCACACACAGCACGGCCAGAGGGCGGCCGTCAGTCGGGCCACACACAGCACGGCCGCACCCACAAGTTACATTATGCGGTGCAGAGCACGTGACGGACGGTGGGCGGTAGGCTTTCAGCACATCATGAATTCACTAGTTTTTACGCCGGCAGTTATCGACCTTCATTGTATGTCAGGGAAACGTTGGTTATATTGTCAATGTTCGACATTTCAAACCTGTGTTCAATGTGACGAGTAAACAAGGGGTCCACTCCCACAAAAAAACAGGGAAAAGCCGTGAGTGGTTTCAGATGCAAGAAGCCCATTGGTTGGGATGTTCGTGAGGTTTGGACAATGTTCTTGATTCCCAGTGTTGGTGATAATACATTTTCCTATCTAACACTCGGCACGGTTATACGGTTATATATATACGGTTAATACGGTATTATATACGACATCGGCACGGTTATAACCTTCCGGCTTGGCCGCCTGTCTCGTGCAGATTCTGGGCTCTAGGCACCCTACGCATACGGCACCGCATAGCGGCGCGCCGGCCGACTGGCGGGCGGGCGCGCGACTGCAGTGCACGCATCTCTCACCAGATGTCAGCACAAGCGGCTCGGTGAGAAGCTCCTCGGGCAGCGGCTCGGCCTCGTCCACCGGCTCGGCCTCCAGGGCCTGCATAGTCTTGGCGTCCATATCCTGCCGACGGAGGCCGATGGAGGCAGCGGTCCAAGCGGGGCGGAGCGAGCATCACCGCCGCGCTCGGGTCATTCAAGTCCTATCTCGCTGCGTCCGAGCGTGCTAAAGCTGGGCTTCCACGGTGTTTGGGGGGGGGGGGGGTCGCGTCACTCGCACCCCTGCGCCCGCTTCTCACTGCGAGGGGCGGCAAGAGTGGCGTGACATCGCCGATGCGAGGCAGAGGCCTCCGATGTGCTGCCCACAGTCGGGGGGACAGGTGTCCTCGGTAAGACATGACTGTCGCTACTGCGCCCGCCCTGGACACAAAAAGGCAGCTGCATGGTTTGTGTGGGGGCTCAGGCCTGAGTCTGTGGGAGCAAATTTCTCCTGCCGAAAAGTGCAGCCCGGAAAAAAGCACGGTGAGACCCGTGGGGTATATTCGCTACACGAGGCTGCAGTCAGCTACGCAGACAATGTAATTTAACAAGTTATGTTTAAATTTGGTCATCAGCTGACTTAATTTGATTGCGGTTCCCGAACGCTACATCCAGGTACGTATCTGAGTTTTACGATGTCGTGAGCAGTCCGGAAAGATAATTGTAAAAATAAGGCTACAATTCCTACTAAACCGTTACACACGAACCCACCACATGTTGCAAACCTAGCACTCAAAAGACAACCCCACAATGTCCCAGGTCGCCAGCGTTCGCAAATACGGGGTGGTGGGGCGGTGGGGCAAGGGAGCGGTGGGGCGGTGGGGCTGAGGGAGGGGCTCGCCTCACCTTGGCTAGCGCCAGGCTGCGTGACGGCGGGAGGCCGGCCTGTTTGCGCGTGGCCCGCGCCAGCACGCCGAACTTGCCCTTGCTCTCCAGAAAACGCCGGTTCCTGACACGGGCCAGAAAGAGAGGTGAGTGAGTCAAGAGTATGGCCTGTCGACGATCGTCCGCGCCGGCCGCGCCGGGACAGACAATGCACGCGTTAGGTAGCTCCAGTGCGCTTCGCTATCAAACGCAAGGGAGGACTAGGGACGATTCATGGTTCAAAAATGTCGACGTGTCGCACGAGCGACAATGCGAAACATAGGCGAAGTTAATAATGCTTCCAATTCTTACGAAAAAGGGAGAACACAAACAAAGCACAAAGAAGGCGACCAGAAAACCTCACCCACACAACACCATCGCTTACCAGAAGCCAATTCCAATGTCATTCGACGTAAAACACTTTAAGCACACATGAACCAACCATAAGCCACCAATGAAATACGACAGGGCCAGGAGCTTGACCAGTAAATCCAGTGGGAGACCATCGCTCCTGGTCCTTTCTTTGCGTGTCGCAAGTCCCGATTCTTCAGGAGATGCTTCCATTCGCGTGTCATGACAATCTACTCGCACGCCGCACCCATGAGTCAGAGTACACCCACGAGTCACGAGAACATCCAGGAGTCTCGAGTGCACCCAAGAGTCCGAGTGCACCCAAGATTCCGTGTTACACCCAAGAGACGCGAGTGCAACCAAGAGTCGCCAGCGCACCCAATCCCCAGGAGTCCATGTTACACCCACGAGTCGCGAGCTCTCAGCCGTGTGCCACATGTTTTCAGCGGCGTGCCACCGTGACGTCAAAGCCGTGACGGCCGTATGATCGGTATCACGAGCCCCTACAGGTGTCACAACCTTTCATTACCGTGGGCCGCTCCCTTATCACCCAGCACAAGTTCCCACACGCGCGACACGAGTCATTCTGTTCGACACCGCGAATCGCGAATGCACGAGTCCTGACTCACGTATCCTGCCGGCCGTACTTGCGCTGCTCTTTCTGCACCTTCTCCAGCATGGCCAGCGCGCGGTAGTTGTCCAGCAGTGTGTTGAGCCTCTCACGGTCGGGGTTCTCAAACTCCGTCCAGGTGCCGGACGCTGGCGGGCCAACAGCAGCATCAGACGGACCGCCGCCACGCACAGGTGGGGTTCTCAAACAGGCTCGGCTCAGGCGATGGACACTGCTGCGGCCCCACTGGCGGTGCGCACTGTGCTAATTCTGGTCCATATTTGGCCAGAATCTCACTTTATTCCTGACATGCTTGGCCAGTGACATGCATGACTGGCCAACTATCTGTTTTCGTTGTTTACTTGCGCCGAATAAATCAGATCCTGTGAACCACTTTCAGTCGCTTGAGCCGATTGATGTTGGCGGCCACAAATTGACAGCAGGCTTGTCACGTATTCAGGAAAAAAGATATTCCTAGGACAACATGTATCGGCATAAAAGGGATAACCAGAGCGTGCCTTAAATATTTTGACATTTAATTTGACACAAATGGTCTTTAAGTCATGATTTTGAGAAACATGTGTGGCACTTGAAATACAAACAGTGCATAAAAGTAATGGAGATCAACACAAAAAGGCACTGCCAGTGTCCACTTTTGACTGAATTCAGAATGCTTGACAACGTGTGAGGAACAGTCTCCAAAAATTGTTACAGCGATAGAACAGGTCTTGTTGCTTACTAGAACCCTCATAACACAGCGTGATGCGGATTCCAGTAAGTCGGCGTCCAGCCGACCGGTCGGCCGCACGACTCTGTTGAGTCATCACTGCTCTGGCAGACACCAAGAGCAGTGCGTCTTGCACTGTGTGCGAAGCAAAGCGGAAGGAAACGACTGGCCTGAACACGCTTTCAGCTCGCGTCGCACGCACGGAGACGGGCCACTTTGGTCCCTCGACGGTGTATGTTTGGATTGCGGCTTTCGAGCGCGTCATTTGGGTATCATATGCGCTGTCAGTTAAGACCAACACGGCGGTTTCAAAACACAAAGCGATTGTCAATAAACGGGACAAAATGGCACAAAGACATTTCAGAGAGAGGGTGAGCTGGGTGGCTGACCAGCCGTGATCAGGGGGAAGCGACACATCAGACGACGGCATACCGGCACGTCATCCGTGCCCAGACGTCAGCAAACCCTGTGAAGCGGCGAGTGTGGCTCCGGCCCAAAACCGGTCCACCCTGTCTGCCCTGGCCTTATTCCCACCTATCCACATTCATAGGTGCGCGCAATACGCCACGGGCACGGGTTAGTTGTTCGTGTCACTGTGTCAGTGGTAATTTATGCCATCGTCAGTACACAAGGCGCTGGTTTATGGAGCGGACGTGATCGAGTCATCTTCACTGCCCACTGACATGTATAGCTGGGGAATGCGGGAGGCCTGAAACGGACACAACCGGTAGTGGACCAGTTCTACTGCCTCCTGGTGACTAGCGATCCACTTATTGCCATCATCATCGGACTAGACATCGGCTCAGGCGCTGATGATGACCTTCGCAGGCCGGTTCGAGCGCATTAGACATCAGTGCACTCAAGGATGTCGAGGGGTGAAATAGCTATACAGAGTGAAGATGAGGGAGACTGTAGTAACGCGGTAGGCAATACGAGATGGCTCAGTCGAGCCGTTTGAAATGGACCAGGTTCATCTTACAACTGAAAATCTTAGGCTGATGCACGGTTTAACTTGCTCGTTTGTTTAGCTTTTACATGTTTCATGTCTGAAGTTCAACTCATCATTACGAACCACACTGATCAGATTCGCTCGTTCGATCCGGAGCACGGCCAGCTGTGTTGTAGATGAATTAAATGTGCCGCGTAAATGAGACCGAGACAGACATACCAAACGCCACTACGTCACGACGCTGGACTTATCACGATTACGCGTACCTTTGAATGTTTGTGCTGCCAAGTTTTTATGACTTGTGTCATGAGCATTCTGCTCAGCTCATTTATGCAATGCACTGGCCCATGATGTACAGGTACGTGCGTCAATGGCACAGCAGTGACAAGTACACCAGGGACGATGTACGTCGGGCTTCCTTTCTTGCATCCGTTGCTGTTATTAACGAATATTTCTACACACTTCTCCATCAGTCATTCTGTGTTACTTGAGCATTGGATAGGAAAAAGGCCCATGTCATAACATTAGTAACTACCATAGGTTTTGCATTATTGTGCCCTCTTATTTTCGTTCCAGAAGGTCATTATGGTATGATCTTAAGTACGATACTATGTTGTCATTCATTCTGACTTGCTTAACGACGCCACACCGCCAGACCACTGACCGACGCCACCCGGCCAGTGACAACACCGTGCTGCCAGACCACTGACCGGAGCCGCCCGGCCGGTGACAACACCACGCTGCCAGGCATTGACCGGAGCCGCCCGGCGGTGACGGCACCACACCGCCAGACCACTGACCGGAGCCGCCCGGCCGGAGACAAAAACCACACCGCCAGACACTGATCGGAGCCGCCCGGCCGGTGACGGCACCGCACCGCCAGACCACTGACCGGCACCGCCCGGCCGGTGACGGCACCACACCGCCAGACCACTGACCGGCATCGCCCGGCCGGTGACAACACCACACCGCCAGACCACTGACCGGCGCCGCCCGGCCGGTGACAACACCACACCGCCAGACCACTGACCGGCACCGCCCGGCCGGTGACAACACCACACCGCCAGACCACTGACCGGCGCCGCCCGGCCGGTGACAACACCACACCGCCAGACCACTGACCGACATTCTGGTCGGGCAGGCCGCTGTCACGTGACGTCCAGCGACAGAAGCCACAGGCCACGTAGTACACCTTGCGCGCCACGATCTTGGTCGGGTCCTCCATGCTGGGCGCCTGCCGGGTGGCCAGCCGGCGGTCAGCCAGGGGGTGGACGCACAGCACGCGCAGACGCCGTCCCGCGGCTTGGCCGCGGCCGCAGCTTAGTAGTGGGATTGTAAGCACAACATGCCACCCTCAGCTCAGAGAGTGATCAGTGCTTCTGTACCTCAGAACAGTCAGATGATAAACCAAGCTGTGATGTCACCAACAGACTGGGAAGTCATCATTGTAAGGCTGGCCATCAAGTTTGACTCACAAGAGTGACTTGCCAGGATGACTTGCATCCTTGCATCCATGTGAACACAACCACTAAAACATGACGGTGGTGCACAGCAAGCACTACATACACATGTCTGATGGTGGGGCAGTGAATGCAAAGACCAATGTTGAGACCCGGGCAACAAAGTTGTGTCCACTAGGATAGAATGCTTAGATCAGAAATAACAAATGATTACTATGTAACATAGCACATAACTTCCACCCTTTTTATGAAGCCAATCACTACAATCAGTACAAACATGCTTGGTGTGTGCTGTTGTCACCCTGAAAAGCCAGCTGAAGGTGCACCAGAAAAGCAATGAAGCATAGCCAAATATAAGCCAAGTGAAGCCAGTATGTGCAGGCAATTACACCAAATATTGTTGGAAACAGTCTTCCAGCAGAGCACATTGGCAGCAGTTAAAGATGTGAGACAAGCCATGAGATTGTATAGCCTACAATTACCATTTTAAAGACATTCTACACTACATTACCAGGCCTGACAATCAGGGCCTTTCCATGTGAAGTGATGCACAGCAGCTTACCTGAATGTTTGTGAATCAGGTGCTCAGCTCATCAGCTCATCAGAGCACTTGTAGTTCAGGCACTCACCTGACCTAAACACAGCACCTGTAGCCCAGGTGCCCAGCTCACCTGCATGCTTGTAGCTCAGGTACTCACTCACCTGAACACTTGTAGCTTGGGTATTAAGCTCACCTGAATGCTTGTAGCTCGGGTGCTCAGTGTTTGTCCACATGAGGGACACTCCTTGCATGTGGCACACCTGTTCTTTTTCAGGCCAGCCTCTGTGTTGGACATCATCTCCAGGCATCCACTGCAGTACATAAAGTCCACCTGGAATTTGGCTAAAACTATTAGCCCATCAACACCAAATAAAAACTACTTTCGCACCTTGTTGAGCTAAGCATATGGATCACTGGGTAGTGATGATGCCTCAGATTGAATCACAGCAAATACTTCATTGAGAACTATGGGACCACCATAAGGCCAACCATAAAACCACTTCTGAGTTATGTGCATGTGTGAAGGAGCATCACCATATGACCAAAAATGCATAGAAAGGAAAGGGGAAACAAGCAAACCAATGATTCAACATTGTTATCACAACTATCCAGAGTAGCCTACAAGGATATAATACCTCATGAGAAACGCAGTTTCCACATCTGATTTTCAGGCAATGCCGGCAGAAATACACGAGGTAGACAGGCTTGAGAAAACCGCAGGAGCATAGGTATTTTACCCTATCCGATAACAAGATTTGATCCATGTCTTCGTCTTCCTCCCTTTCAGATTATATAAATATATATTGCTGTTTGTCCTATGCCGCTAAACTTTACGATATCAATCACCACGAAACGCTCTAAGCACCTACACGTAAACCACGCCCAAGCACCGAACGTATTCTGATATCCCATTCGCGCAAGCACATCCCACAAGATGGGATAATACAAATATGACGCAGATGAGCCTTTCATAAAGATATGGTGTTGTGAAATATTTGTTCAGAGTCTGGCGGCTTATTTACGCGAGATGAAGGCAAGCAATCGGCGTGGTTATTGACAAAGCCGCTGGGTACTTCTTAATACGTTTTTCAGCCGAAATGTGATAAAAAATTGTTGCATTTATTGGGATAAGAATATGATGCAGAAACCACTTAAATTATAAAAGTCCAATGCAGCCAACAGCTGTGGTGTCTTATCAAAGGACGAATTTTGAGCAACGTCTCAGGGATTTAGTCGTCTAGGCAATATTAAGGAATCAGAGCGATAAGTGCTACTGGTCGGGGTAAAAGGGCCCCAGATCTGCCCCATTGCCCCTAGGCAGGGGGCAGATGAGGCGCACGCAATCCCGACCCCTCTAGCTTTAGGTTCTGAGGGGCTCCAAAGGCCCCACGGGACTGGCGATCAAGAGACAGATTGGGGGGCCCGGCGGCCGGCGGCCGGTTGCATCAAGGAACTTCGGGCGACAGGGCCGGATCTTCAAATGCCAGAGAGCCTCTTGCGCTGACGGGGAAATGAGATGGGATGGGGCGAGGTGGGCTTTTTCGGTCAGAGACCACGGAAAATGAACAGTCGGTTTTGTTTCGGTCCGGGCCGTACATGCCCGTTTCCCAAGCTGTGATAAAGGCACGCGATAGTATCTGAAAACCTCTTGTAATGGTCGGCTCCCTGTGTCGGGCAGAGCTAACTGGGTATCCCGTGTCGCCGTGTCGACCAATCCCAAAGTGGCTAACCTGAAAACCTGTGTCAATAAGAGCCCCGAGTCGGCCAGAGGCACATTTGCTGAGCATGGGCAGGGACGGGACTCCGAATGTCACAGGGCCTCGTGGAGCGGTCGAGGCCCTCTGATAATGAAAGGCAGTATCAGAAATAGCAACGAAACTGTTCGCAAGAGACAGTTAAAGGAACATGGGTCGAGTCAGATCCCCGGTGCTGAACGAGGACCCTCCGTGCCCAATCAGCCAGAGAGCTGGTAAGTCGAACTCGGATTCATGTGTCATTTATTGGACTCCCTATGCTGGTAAGAGATCCTTTTGCGGCGCCAATCCCTGCGCCGATCCGGGGTGCCAGAGCGAGAGCACCTCCGCGTCATGGACCAGGGAGCGATGCCTGATACATTCCCCTGAAGACCTCAACATCAGTCAGAGAGCCCCCTGCCCCGTGTCACCAGGATGGCAGCTCTTGGGTTCCGGGTTGAGACGGAAGGTTTGAGACGAAACGTTGATGGCCGTCGCAGCCAAGACCAGGCGTCGGGCGCGCGGGAACGTCAATGTCTTCGTAAAGAAAGACCACGAAAACCGTTCAAAATTGATTCGTGCCACACAAAGGTTTGGCGGGGGGGGGGGGGGGGGTTAAATTCACAAGCTCATTTGTCTGTGTGTTCATTTAGCCCCTATTTAGACTGGAGGTGCAAAACAAACATAGACATGTTGCTTATCATGATGGGAAATCCACGGTATCGGTGTTAACTTTTTAAAGCATTAAAAAGGGCCCAAGCACGATTTGCAACCGGACCTGAGAGAAACGTCACACTTCCCAACTCCCACCCCTTTGCTTCTGTCGTGCTCTATCAAAACCCTGCTCCTCCTGTGCTTGACGTAATGTATCACTCGGCCAAGTGGTCGGTTGAGTGCAATGCGTTCGGATAGGCAAGGATACATTTGACACCGTGATATACCAAAAAGTAAGAGAAATACAAACACCAACTTTACAGAGTAGGTCGCACTCCCGTGCCAATATTAGAGGCCTCTAGGTTATGAACTTTGTTAAAATATGGTCAAGGAAGGCCAAACTCGAGGCCAGTGTCCAAAGTAGTCTCAGCCTTCCTTACACAACCAGATTCAGTTCACACGCCTTTTCTACACAAAACGCCACTTGGAATCATGTCAGATCAGTGATCTTATCTGGCCATAAGAAGATGATAATGACTACCCAAAACCGAAAGCGAAAAGTTGATCGAGGTCATTTTTGGTTTGCCCTGACCTTCACGAAGGCAAACACAAAATCCACCAACGTCCATCATGCCCATGGAAATTCGAAATGTGCTTCAAAAACCACCCCACAAAATAAGTTTTCATGTGAAAAAGCTGTTTTGGTTTTGGCGCTGATCTGACCTTCACACATGACAATGTCAATAGAATAAAAAATGTATATCCAAGCTTTACACCAAAAGATTAACAATTTAATTGCATACAGTTAAACAAAGTTTGCAGTCGCTGCACCTCACTGTTCGGAAGTTATTCAGGAAAAGCCTTCGGGGTCGAATTGACCGCTACCCGAGCGAGTCATCTGGACGGCCAATCCATTGCACCTCAGCCGAAAATTAAACGCCGAGTAACCCTGGAGCAGCCATCCAGATTTCCTGTTTTAGTGGAAGAGCTGCCCGCAAAAGCAACACATTTAAATAACTATGCTCCGATCGGTGCGGGAAATGACAAAAAAGAGTGCTAAGCCCTTGATTATTTTGCGATTCATGTTTCATCTGAGACCATGAGCGTCGCGATCACGTACCGTTTGAAATACGAAAGGGAGGGGGCGAGACATCAGTCCGGTGGCTGCCCTTTTTACGCAAACATCACCCGGTGAAATGCGAGCACATTAAACAACTAGGTAAGTCCCACCCGTGCCAAGGGTAACTGATATCTTAATGCTAAAGATGAGGCTGCGTGCACGTAAAACATGGCGATAAATAGCGCTCAGTTAGGTGTCAGTATTGCGTGCTACGAAACGTGGCACGCGTGGCGTCCTTGGTTTCGGTAAACCATCGTGTTGTTTAATTGAGAAAAAATGGTAAAACGCGTCTCACAGAATGTAGGCAAGATAATTGCTTATTAGACATTGCACAACTGACAAAGTTCGCTTGCCGCAACCCAGCCGTGAGTCACGTTCTGCACACTAACAAACAGCCCGGAGATGAAAATGTACGTCTCACGACCCTGATATTGTCGCGTGCTACTTGGTTATAATACCACTCGACCGCTCACATAATCGTGTGCGTACGGCCCAAAATAGATCAGTGTACTCGCATCCAAACAGTTCCTAATTATCTGTGTCATTAGCTTAGGTGAAGATTGTAAGTAGTGTACGGCATGTGCGTGCGTTAAGCTCAAGACAACATGCCACATGCTTTGGTCAACAGATGATGATGGGCCGATTACAAGGATGCGACTACCACGGCTGGGCCACTGGCATATAGCATTATGCTATTGCTTTCGTCGCAAATGCTTGCACGAAGCATGACTCACTTTGATTGCCGTTCGGTGTCGGCTGAGTAACCCCGCTGACCTCACTGCTGGCCACACACCAGCCGTCAATGTTATCCTGAGAACGTCAAGGATCATATGGCCAAAGTAAGTGAAAGTCGAAAGCCACAGCTGTCTCAGTATGTCACGTGGTTGTTGTGAACAGAATCACTTTTATTCCGTTGCTGGAAGACCTGTTGCGTGCAGGACACCTTGCATGAGTTAGCTTGAATTCAGATCACTAAATCATCTGCTTGAGTAATTAAACTCAGGCGAGAAAACGACGAAGAAGCGGAGCAGAAGAACATGGAAGATATAGGCAAAAAAGGTGTCGTGAATTGGGAGGTCTTGTTCTGACAATAACCGACCCTTAATGTACCAGAAGATACTCGTCAGACGGCGTTATCAAGGAAGCATTGCTTATGTGGACAAAAGTGGACATTTCAAAGCCGTGCCATGGTCACGAGCGCTGTTTCTGAAGTCGTGAGAGGGCACCACGGAGGTACAGAATGAGAGGTTCCAGCAAAGTATGACATGAGCGGCTTGAAGGCGTTCGCGTGGTGCGATCACACAGGAGTTGCGCACCAGGCTGCAATTTCAGTGAAATGGTAGCAGGACCACATCCTTCGCGTCATCCAGCCATGGAGCTTCAGTGGGTTTGTCTTTCCCATGCATTTAGCTTCGATCTGGTGTTCTGCATACGCATACATACCGCTGGAAGTTTTCAGCGGATCTGCTGAATGCGGATGCAGTTCCACTAAATTTGAGCCCACGGCGGATTGAGCTTCTTCTGACCGGGTCCGAGCCGGCACGATAGGGCGCACAAAACCTGGCGACTCGGTCACGTCATCCGCAGTGGCAGAACAAAAACGGACTGCATTTGAGACGTCAAAAGCGTCACGCTGTTTGACGCAGGATGTAGTAGTATTTGGCGTAGTATGTAGTGGTATTTGGCATAGCATGCCGTATGGTAGGAAAACGCGACATGTGACCTGCCTTCGGGCGAAAACAGGAGATAGTGAAAGGTTGCATCAGGCCCGAGTTTTCCCACTTTAGAAAATTGGATATTTTCAACTACTTGTATTTTCATGATGCGAAGCACATTATACGTCAAACGTCTATTCCTTCAAGTGTTTGGTACAACTGTTACACCCATACTGGTGATTCCTGCCTTCCTTGAACACACTTGAGCAGCTGAGTGCTCCAGGCAGATAGTGAAGCCTTAAGATGCAGAGTGAAACCCGTTGGGAAGAAGTTAAACGGCACACATTTTTGTATTCATGAGGTTCAGCCCACTTAGACTAGAAACCACTTTTCTGGAATTTGTACGCGGAGGGTCAGTCCGTTCAGGCAGCAATTTATTCAGCGACGAGTTCTGATTTCTCTGAATGAAGGTCGTAAGGTCAATTGTGGCATGAGAACATAAAAATTACCCTTATTTTTTCAGTTTGACGTGACCTTTGAGGTCAAAAACTGGGTCAAACGAAGGGAGACTCGATATCACCCACAAATTACTGACCGATTTGAAAACTATAAACACAAAAAGCTCACAAGCGCAAGATCTAGCGTCCGTCAAAAACCTGACATCTCAAGGTCAACCTTTAAGGTCAAACGCGAGCTCAAAGGACGGGAACTCGATAATATCCAAAATTTACCGGCCGATTTGAAAACTGTAAGCATAAAATATTTACAAGCGCAAGAGCTAGCGTCCGTCAAAAGTTCCTGACATTTCAAGGTCACATTTCAAGGTCAAACGCGGGCTCAAAGGATGGGGAACTCGATATCGCCCAAAGATTACACACCAATTTTAACCTTGCAAATATGAGAATATTTGCTGTACTTTTTGATGGCCGCTAGTTCTTTTTGTGGTAAATATTCTGACATTTGTAACTTGAAAATCGGCCGGTAATTTTTGGGCAATATGGAGTTATCTGTCCTGCGAGTCCGCGCTTGACCTAATGATGACATCAAATTCCCCGTCCTTTGAGCCCGCGTTTGATCTTGAAGGCTGACCTTGAGAGGTCAGGACTTTCTGACGGACGCTAGTTCTTTCTGTGGTGAATATTCTGACATTCGCAGGCTGAAAATCGGCCGGCAATTTGTGGGTAATATTGAGTTCCTTGCCCTTTAAGCCCGTGTTTGATCTTGAAGGATGTCCTTGAGAGTTAAGGACTTTTTCACGGACGCTATAGTTCTTTCTGTGGTGAATATTTTGAGCTTTGCAAGTTAAAAATTGGCCGGTAATTTTGGATGATGCAGCGATCCCTGTCCTTTGATTTCGCATTTGGCCTTGAAAGATGACCTGAAGACGCCAGAACTAGTTCGCTAGTTCTTTCTGTGGGGAATATTCTGATGTTTTAAGTTGAAAATCGGCCGGTTTTGGTAATGTGGAGCCCCCCGTTCCTCGAGCCCACGTTTGACCTTGAAGGGTGACCTTAAGAGGTCGGAACTTTCTGAAGGACGCTTGTTTTCCTGTTGTGGGTATTTTGACATTTGCAAGTTGAAGATCGGCCGATAACATTTGCGTGACATTGAGTTCCCGGTCCTTTGAGCCTACATTTAACCTTAAAGGCAGACCTTGAGAGGTTAGGACTTTTTGACGCACGATAGCTCTTGCGCTTGTGATTATTTTGATGTTTATAGTTTTCAAATCAGCCGGAAATTTTTGGATGATATCGAGTCTTCCGTCCTTTGACCCAGCTTTTGTTCTTGAAGGTCACATTATAGCGCAAATAAGTGTCATTTTTGATGTTATCATGCCGCAATTGACCTTGAGACCTTTTTCAGAGAAATCAGAACTCGTCGATGAATAAATCGCTAAATAAATCGCTAACTTCACAAACATCCTGCATGCTTGATTTGGCAACACAGTAAGCAAGTACTGCCTTATACCCGACGGCCCCTTCAGGGCCACCTGAAATTATGGGGAGCAGGACAAAAAGATGCCTTTGCCCACGTCTCAAAAGATGGGAGGGGGGGGGGGGGGGCGGCAGTTTGCCCTGCTGCCAGCTTCCTCCGGATGCGCCACCACTGTACACAGCCGCGTATCCGCTACGTCAGCCTTAGGTTACCCGTCTGCGCTGCTTGGCAGCTATGCGTGCTTAACTCCGCGGAGCTTGATACGAATCGTTACTTAAGACCGTTTTGCTACTGGTAAGGATTCGAACTACCTATTTTCAAGGACGTCTTGAGCCAGCCCGCGACGTCATCTGACGTGGAACGACTGCCCAGAGACAAATAGCGAGTACCAAAGGGACTCGAAACACACACCACAGCGCAGCGCTCTAACCGACTGAGTTAAGGGGGTGAATAGGTCGGAGTGCATATTTTGATGAATATTTTGCTGAAGACCCTTCGACTCGTTGTCATATTATATTTTTCATATCAATCTATTCCCGACAATTTCATTATATCGCGTTTTCTCACATTTTACATTGAAGTTTTCTTCCATTTTTTCCTTTTAATATTGTGCCGTTGGTCATCCTCTATTTAACTCCATTAAATTTGCATGCGTCGCCGGACACCAGACTGTGTTTCAATGACGTCATTTAAGTTCAGCCCTTTCTTCTGAAGTTAGCTCTACTGAATATCGCAGAATCTCTCTTCGTTGTAATCCACAACCTTGACAGACAGTCGCGGACAAATTTTCAGACGAGAGGGCGGCGGCGGTTCCATCGGGCGCGCCCATTAATGCCGTTGTCTGTGTGTGGCGTCAGAGAGAGGACTGCCATTCGAAAAATCGTGTTTAGGGTGTTGTTCTGGTCTTTCTGATCACCTGTATACTGAAGATACGAAGCTGTGACGGTCTGCGGAACTTTTGCTCTCCTCTACTCGTCAGCGCGTTTCACTTTCAGTTCAACGAGTTCGCCCAAGGGTGAACGCAGCGTACGCTTGGTGCCGTCACGGGGTTGTGATCTTTTGTGGTTTACGTGCGTCGGATCCTGGGCAGGCATTGTTGTGCCATATCAGCTGGATTCCATCAGCACTTACCATGAGTAAAAAGTGTGGAAAGTGTGCGAAGACTGTCTACCCAACAGAGGAGCTCAAGTGCCTAGACAAAGTAAGTTTTAACATCAGAGATTTGGTCATTCACTTCTGCACTGGCTGGTGATGCAAATATTCTGCTTTTCTAGCATACTTTTGACATGAAGTGTGAGTGTGGATGTGACATTGTGGCCAAGAGAATGTATTTATGATCAGTGGGAATGTCTGACTCACAGAACCCAGTTGTTGGAAAAGCATATGAAGTATGCATACCTTTCATCTGTGATTCTGGTTGTCACATGTGAGAGGAGAGGTCCTTAAAGCACTGCTCTGTGTTAGGTGCTTGGATGTACACCTTAACATTAGCAAGTATCACCAGCACTTCAGACTTGGCCATAAGAGTGTGAATACAAGTTGTGTTTTGGTATCCATGCCTTACCTTGGCTTACATTTTCATGGTCAGGAATTATAAAGGGTCTGCTGGTCCTAGTCTCATCAGGCTTTCAGTCCTGTAACCAAACAGCCTCAAATTATGGATAGATCCAGTGTGGAATGTTGTACATGATGCCAGCCCAGTACATATCAATCCTAGACTTAAACTGTTCAGCTGATGTTGACAATATGATGGATGCAGGTGTGGAATAGCAGAGAAATGCTCCAGTCATTGACTACCTGTGTTCTGAATGAGTTGCAATGGTAGGAGTCCCAGCTTTAGGTCTTCTCAGCTTCCAATGGTATGCTCTCTCTCACCTCAGAATTGTGTCATGCCGGGAACTCCTCTTGAGACAGGGGCATACCTCTGTGGCAGCTGATATACTGTAACCATATCTCCCCTGCAATGACAGTAGTACAATGAGTGCAACTGGAGGAGTCTGAACATCTCAGGCTATGGCCAATGTCTCACTTCATGCACAAGATGGTAGCTTGTTGCCGAATCCACTCCAGCTCCTCCTGGTCTGGTCTGCCGAATGGCCCCCTGATGACATTGATAGATTCCAAGTGTGGGCATTCTAAGATCTTGAAAAGAAGTGACAAAGTGTGTACTCCAAGTGTGTGCATTCTGAGATCTTGAAAAGAAGTGACAGAGTGTGAACGTCGATTTTGGCAAACAACCACCTCACAATTGCCGGCATCAGGTTGGCCTTTGAGGTCACCTCTGCCATCTGCACATGGAGCTTGAGCCTTTGATCTATGAAGATCCCAAGGTCCTTCTCAGTGGACTTGACTGTGATTTTTGCATGGTTTGAGAAGTATGTCAGTCTTGGGTTGCATTTCCTGACATGCACTACTTTCCATGTTGATGCATTAAAGGGGAGCAACCACTCCTTTGACCACTTGGCTAGGGGATCAAGGTCAATTTGTGGAGGTGGCTCAGTCAGGGTTCTCGAGACACGACAGTGGATCTTGGTGTCAACCGCAAACGTCTTGACCACGCTTCGCACATGATCTGGTAGATCGTCCACAAAGATTATGAATAGCATTGGTCCCAGAACCGGTCCTTGCGGTATGCCTGACGACGTGGATCCAATCCGACTTCGAACCCTGGACCCGCACTTTTTGCATCCTGTGGGTAAGAAAAGCCCTGATCTAGTGCAGCAAATTACCTCCCACGCTGTAAGCATGGAGCTTGGAGAGCAGACGGTTATGAGGCATAGAATCAAAGGCTTTGCTGAAGTCTAGGTGCGTTACGCCCACCGGCTCTCCATCCTCTACCGCGGCGCTCCAGTTTTCCATATCTTCTAAAGCTGGGTGACAGGACTGCTTGGGGAGAAATCCTGGCTGTGCTGCATGAAGAAGTCCGGACTCTGTGAAGTGATAAATTGGGGCATCTCTGACGAAAGATTCGAGTGTCTTGGAGGGAACGGCAGTAAGACTCATTAGGTGGTAGCTCGCTTGGGACTGTTGGTTACCTTTCGTGAAGATCGGGACCACCTCAACAAGCTTCCACGCCTGGGGAAGCCTTCCAAATGCCGATGATTTTCGGACAAGCATGCTCAGAGGTAGTGCCAGGACGTCCACAGATTCACGAAGAAGCATTGGGTGGACATCGTGTGGCCCAGGGGTGCTCGAAGTCTTGAGAGCATCTAATTCTTTGCCACTTCCTGGATAGAGATCCTGGAATCATCATCATCATCACGTCATCACGTCATCCAGAAATGATCCATTAATGTTAAAGGCATCACAGGCATGGCACTAGACCCTTCATCCATGAAAGCACTGGCAAAGGATTTACGGAGAACATTGGCCTTTACTTTGTTGCTGCTAGTCTGCACTCCATCGTCGTCAAGGTCTTCCACCCTGCATTCTTCATGTAGTTTTGAGCTGGCGTACCTCCAAACGGCCTTAGGGTTTCTTTTAAGGTCTGCTACCAGTTTCATCCTGTACTCTTTCCGAAGGTTTCTAGTTAACTTCCTAAGGCCATTGCGACACCGCACCATTTCATATCCTAGATTGAAGGATAAATTGTCAACTAAAATCAAATGAATTTGCATATCAAAAAATGTATTAGTTAAACCTCAGCAAAGTAACTGCCAATGTGATACAAGTGGAAAATGCATGGCTTTTAGTTTTTGTTTTGAAACAGACCACTGTTGCTAAATAAGCTCTGCACTCATCATAGTATTCGCAAAGGGCAGGTATATGAAAGGTATATGAAATAGGCCAATGTCATGATTGTGATGTGTGAAAAAGCATGCAATCACTGCCCTGAAGCATAAAAATAATAGCTAGTTATTTTTGTGATGTGTTTTGAACTTAATTTAATGGACAGAACTTCATTATATCATGCATTTGAAAGCAATTTTTAGACCTCTGCTCAGTTTCAAATGATGCCTGTTATGAAGCTTAAGATTGATGAATCTGTCAGTGTTGTTTATATGTTCATAAATCCCAGTGCAAAACAGGGATGGGCTTAAATTACTACTGCAGTTGGCATGTCCTAAAACCAGTAAACAACGACCACTGAAAAAGAGTGGTTCAGAAACTTTAGAGTTTTCGTCTTTCTTGTACTTCTGATGTAATTAGTTCTTGATATGTTGCATACCATCAAGGCTGCACTTGCTTTTTTAAATTGTGCAGAACTTCCTCTGTGGAATATGACTGACTATGGGTTGACTTCAATGCCACTCGCTCATGAGCCATCGAGTCAGCAAGGATGATTGCCTCTTGCTTCCTGGCAACATCCGTGTCCACAGTCGCTGGGGCGGATCATTGTGTTGGCTGCTACAAGATTATCATAACATCCTTGTTTTGTACATCATGGCTCCTCTGACGTTCCTGCTTCGCTAGGGCACCGTCTTGACGTGTCTTGAAAACGTTTGGTGCTTAGTGCTACTTCATACAATACACATCTGCAACGTGGAATGAGCGGTCGGGGAACATGTGTCTTGTTGACATCTCGATTTCGCATGTTTCAGGTATGGCACAAGGGCTGCTTCCGCTGCTGGGAGTGTGGCATGGCTCTCAACATGCGGAACTACAAAGGATTCAACAAGCTGCCATACTGTGAGGCGTAAGTACAGTCAAATCTTTTAGGGTCCTTCCTTGCGTAGACTTCTTGCCGGATGTGCAGAACGGCCTACAGAAATTACTTGTTGGTCGGTTGTCATGGTTACGGTTGTCATGGACTGCCTGCTGCTGAGCGCATCATTACTGTTTCCTCCCAAACCTCCTATGGACAGCCATGAGTGAATCGTTTTTTATAGCGCCACTACCAGATCCCGAGTTTAAGTTATGGGAGAGTGATCCTGTGACATCAGTCACACTTGGACCGATATTGCACCAACGACGTGCAACGCGACGCAACCACGCGTTTTGGTCGACATTCCGGCGAGCGAAGGAATACCCGAGGGCGGGAGAGCCCCGGCAGTTCACTCAACCACCGAGTAGGCGTGCTCCAAGCCGCAAGTGAGCTCATATTTGCTTGTGAAGAGCGACTCTCAGGTGACAGTTTGGTCCCAGCGGGAGCAAAGCAGCTTGAGCATCCGGCGCACCTGCCGCCCCGGTGACCGCAGGTTGATAGTGGGAGCACTAGCGCTCTTTTGTGATGGCGTGGCTGTGATAGACAGATCCTAGATCCATTAGGATTGACCTGTGCGGTTACAAGGCATCTGAATTAAACTGTTAGATATCAGTTGGATAAACTGTGTCCTATTTCGGAGTCTCGCGGCCATTATGCTTTCAACGGTTCCGTTTTTCCCAGGTCTCTTCCGTTGTTTGTTTTTCACGGGAGAGCAGCATTTGTCTGCACAGAAAATAGCCCGCATGCACGCGTTCGACCTGCGACTATTTTGTTCGACCTCAACTCCTGCACGTGACTTCGCTCAGTCGAGAGAGTCTGATACCCACGTGGAAGAGGCGGGCTCCACTCCCGGCTGAAGTATGGCCACCGGGCGCTGGTATGGGCACGGTAGCCGTCCCCGCTCCTTGAAAGGGGTGCATGACGACGGACGCCGCCTGCTTCTTAGCATGAGGACTTCGGTGACTCACCACATCCCTGGCATTCGTGGTCCTCATCATTAGCCGTGAACAGGAAAGGGCCTGCATTGGGTGGGTGTGATACCGCACCTCCGTTAGAACTAGGCTAGCGTGGCATTCAAACGGCCAGCGGACGCTGACAGGGGACGGCGCGTAATGTTAGGGCAGCGGAACTGTATTGCTCTCAGCGGCCGACTGCGTGTGACTGACCAGCGTTCAGCTCTGTAGAGGGAGCACTGCCGCGCTTGTGGTGCCGCTGTGTGATCTCTGACCGCCGACTGCGCCCCCCCCCCCCCCCCCCCACACACGCACGCAGTCCACGCTCAGACTTGTACCCGACAGATCCCGGATCGCAGATCCCAGATTGTACTTGTACCCGGTCCCGGCGTTGGACGGCGGCCCGCCGGCGGGTCGCGGCACCACCTGTTACCGGGGCCCGGTGGCCTTGTCCCAGTGACAGGTGGGGGGGGGGGGGGGGACGGGGAGGCGGAAGCGGAGCGTCGGTCGACCTGAGGGGCGGCGCCCGCGGCGCTGTCTGTGGGTCAGCTATTCCGGGCGCCCCGCGGCGGCTCCGAGGGCGTGGTCCGCCCGGTTGAGGCGCGCCGGCCCACCGGCGCGGTGTCCTCCCTGGCGGGCAGCAGCGACCCTTGGGTGGTCCACCGTCCGATAAGCCCAGTGACGGATGACGTCCGGGCTTGACCCAGTGAAGGCAGGGGTTGTCAGGCGGTAGTGGGGAATAACCCACATGTGGGAAAGGCCTGTTTTAGATAGGGATAACAACGCCACTTGATCCTGGAGGCACAGTTATCATTAATCGTATGTTGTCCCTGTCTCACTTCATCGTTTGCTCTGCCTTATGAAGGCTATTGTTATCACGTCTATCAGCGAAATGATCAAGAGATGTTCACCCATAAGCCGGTCCTGTTATCGGGTAAAAATGTGCTATCTGACAGCCAAGTCCATACGGTACAGACAGGGACTCTGAAGCCCCAAACGCCCGGGCCCAGCGTGATTGCTGACCGGTTTGCGAACCTTTGAAAACGGGCATTGTGCTGTCGTGAGAGCGAGCTGGGTGCGGAACCTGCGCCCATCGCGGTCGCCGCATTGTTCACGCCCACTGTGGCAAGCCTGCGTTGAACAATGCTGCTCGCAGAAAAACTGCGGTGTGCCCAGTTCGATACCGGATGTTGCAGGTGACATCCGTTGAGGGCGGCGTTGTTTGCGCCGGATTCGTGTCCTGGCCTCCATCATCTCTTATCTGTGTCGGACGCTGACGAAGGCAGCATCTTCGCTGGCCGTCCCTCGCTGGGGTCCGCTCACATCGAGTCCTTGGTCTTACTCACCCGCCCGCTGGGCCGCAGGCTCTAGCGTGTTCCGCTCTGCGCTGTGTGCGGACATGGCGCGTCATGTGCTCCTGCGGTGTGCTGCTGTTGCGGCGGCTATCTGCTAGTCTGCTGCAGCTGATGTGTGCTCCTGTTGCGGCAGCTGACTGCTGTGCCGCCGCGGCTGCCGTGTGCTGCTGTCGTGGCTGCTGTGTTGCTGTCGTGGCTGCTGATGCGCTGCTGTCGCGGCAGCTGTCTGCTGTGCTGCTGTCGCGGCTGTTGTGTACTGCATTCGCGACTGCTGTGCGCTGATGTGCTGCTCTTGCGGCAGCTGTCTGGTGTGCTGGTGCGGCTGCTGTGTGCTGCTGTCGCGGCCGATGTGTACTGCATTCGCGACTGCTGTGCGCTGAAGTGCTGCTGCTGCGGCAGCTGTCCGCTGTGCTGCTCCGGCTGCTGTTTGGTCATGTTCACTGTTGGGCGGTGCACGCGTGACGGCGTTGGCTCAGATCTCTGATCGTGGTGTGCCTTGTTTTCGCTGCCATTAGCACCTGTTTGCGCTCGCGCACATCTTCTCCGGAGGTTACTGTTTTAATGTGATGCTGGCTATGCCAGTAATGATAAGTGATGAAGATTGCGGGGAAAGGGCTACCGTTCAGGTTAGGAATGAGCTTCACTTGTGCGCATCAAGATTAGGCCTGTCATAATTGAACTGTGAAACAGGTTGCGTAGGTTCGTCCCGAACAGCTCGGATATTCAATTTGAAGTTCTAGTGTAGCGAAATTTTTCCAACGGAGGTAGTTGCTCGCCAGTGTAAAAATGCGACCAAACAGCATCCCCTTTGGTTTTAACCGCCTGCGTCTAAAACTTGTGTTCAAAACAATCTGTTGGGATGCCTCGCCACGCTTTGCGTGAAAGCTTGTGGCACGCTGTTTTCCACGGTGCCATATCCGTGCTTTTGTGCCATCCTTTCCACCCTTCCCTGGGCCGATTGCCGTCGGAGATCTTTACAGCTCATCCGCGTGCCTTTCGTAACATCCGAGACGCGTGTGATTCTGCTGTGGACGCTGGCGGCGCCGCTGCTTCGCGCTGCTATGGTGCGGCGCGGCGCGCCTGCGCGGGCTGCAGCTGGCCCCGACCCGAGCTGCTGCCGCACAGAGCCGACCCCGACCCGGATTGCCGTCGCTCGGAGCCGACCCCGACCTGACCTGCCGCCGCACAGAGCCGAGGCCCGACCCGAGCTGCTGCCGCACAGAGCCGACCCCGACCCGGGCTGCCGCCGCATAGAGCCGAGGCCCGACTTGAGCTGCCGCCTCACAGCCGAGGCCCGACCTGAGCTGTCGCCTCACAGCCGAGGCCCGACCCGAGCTCTGGCGCGACGCTCGCGCCCAGGTCGCTCCCGGCCGCGGTCCGGCCCGGCCCCGGCCCCAGCCGCCGCCGCACGGAGCCGTGCAGCGGCCGTCCCTGCCCGGCCCGTCCGGCGCCGTATCAGTCGAGTGCCGGCGTGCAGGCGCTGTAAACAGAGCGGGCCGGCCGGCTGGAGCCCGCGGCGCCGCCGCCAGAGGCCGGCCCTCCGCCCGGGGGCGGGAAGAGCTGACGGCGGAAAAAACGAACGGCGCTCGAAGGCAGCGGATACCGCAGGAATGCCGGTGTAGGCGTGAGCAGTGCGAGTGTTTTTGTAAAGTCCGGCGGAACGCGCTGGGTGGATCGACGGCGCTTGAAAACACGCGACGCTCACACGTGCTCATTGAAGGCATCGAATGCTCCCCGCCAGCCATAGACAGCCCGCCGCTGTCTAGATGGCAGATGTTCCAGGTGTGTGAACGCGTTGGCGCGTGTTTGCGTCGGGACGATAGCGTCGCGCGCCGTTATCGCCGCCGGATCAGAGCCCCTCCCGTGCACTGCCGCGAGCCGCCCACGCGCGCGACGCCGCGTCTAAACACATCGCGCTCGGCGGCTGTGTCGCCGCGTCACCCGGCCGTGCCTGCAGACGGCGGTGGCCGCCGGCTGTGACTCGCCGCGACTGACCGTGCGCCGCGTGATTAGGCCGCTGTGAGGCGATGCTGCGGGCTGTGGCGGGGTCGCCGGCGTCCCATCCGCCACGGTCGGCCGTCGACCCCCCCCCCCCTTCCCCACCAGCTGCCTCTGCAGCCGTGGAAGGACGGCCAGCGCCGCCCCGGGACCCGTGTTCCGCCGGGGATCTCGTGCTCCGCCGGTGATCCCGTGAGGCGGTGATCGTCATGTGTGTTCCGCTATGGTGCCGACGCCGGCCTGCACGTAGCGCTGAGCGGCACTCGTAATTACAGAACATTTTGCAGACGGCGTGGAGGAGGGGGAGGGGAAGGGCATTAATTGCAGGAAGGGCATAGATCATTTTTTTGTGGGCGGTAATGCCAAAAGGTCATCTCATGGTGACCTGACACTTTCCATTTTGCATCGTCCTTTCATCACGCTACGCTCCGGTTGAGGCAGAAGGAAGAGCCGTGTACCGGCTGCAGTGGCGTGCGGGGCCGTCTCGGCCCGTGATGGGCTCGCGAGCCCAGGTCAGCCGGTGACCGCTCCGGGGCCCCCCAGCTCCAGACCCCGCCGGCTTCGGAGCTGTCTCCGCAGCGGACCGCCGCTCGGCCGACCCGGCGTCGGACGGGCGTCCTCGACAAGGCCGCCGGACCGGCCGCTCCACGGCAGCGAAAGCGGCGACCGCGCGCCGCGCCGCGGCGGCCCGGCCGGACCCGCCGCTGCCTGGCGGCGCTCCCGACGGCGTGTCGTGACGCCGCCGCCCCCTGACCCCGGCGACAGATGGCCGGCCGCGGGCGTGACGTCACGCGGCGAGAGCGGGGTCGGGGCCCGGTGTGTGCCGGGTCCGAGCGCGCTCCAGCCAATGGGAGGCCGCGGCGCCGTGTCGGCTCGCGTGGTCCCGGCCTGGCGTGTCTAGCGGGTCCGGTACGGAATGCGGCTCCGGCAAGCGCCGCCTGTGGAGCCGATTGGGGTGTCCTGCAAGCGCCCACCGTTGGTCCGCATTGGCTGCAACGGGGCGGCTAGGGCTCCTCGCTGAGCGTGGTTTAGACTGGTCGGGAAGCTGATGCGCTTGGGTGAGAAACACGCCGGTTTTTTCATTCATTCGTCCGAATTAGCTCGCTCGTGCCGGCCGCACGGCCCGGTGCACCGACTGGCCGTTCGCCAGCTGGTGCCTGGCTGCGCTCCGACAGCCGTGAAGGAAAGGGAAAGCGGTCCGGCAGAGCGCCGCGGCCGCGGCCGAGCAGCGGCACACCGGGCCTACCCGCCGCGGAGCCGTCACGTGGCGGCGCCGCTGGGCGGCCTGGGGCGGCCGGCGCCGGTATAGGTCAGAGGGCCGGTGCTGAGGCGCAGCGCCTGGCGCCGAGCCAGCGGCGGGCAGCCGCGCCCTGACCGCTCTCGGCCGGACGGGGTCAGGGGCCCCGACTGCCGGCACGCGGCCGGCCAGCACGGGGAGAGGCTAGTCCGTGCTGAATGGTCATCCCAAGAGAAGTAATGCATGCATATAGTACAATGCGTGTGGTGCAGATGAAACGGGCCTGCGCTTCTGTCGGCGTTAAACGCTTGGTCACGACGTTTTTCAACACCCATCAAGGTACTGGCTTGACCGCATCGCGTCCTGAAACTGCAATGGGCCATGCGACGACCTTTGTAGAAATTTCGCTCAGAACTGGACGGCAATTGAGGATTTTCTACCAGGAGCGTCATGCAAAATGTTCGTCTTACCCCAGATAGAGGCTACCGCCGGGTGGGGCCAAAGGTCTGCCCTGGGCTCGGGCCTCTGCCGGCGATGGTCCCCGATAGAGGCTACCGCCGGGTGGGGCCAAAGGTCTGCCCTGGACTCGGGCCCCTGCCGGCGATGGTTCGGCCTTGTGGCGGTCAGTCAGCTCGTCCCGCAGGCAATTGGCCAATGGGAGGAACGTTGTTGTGACGTCAGACCAAGGACCGGCGTAGCCTCTGTGGATGTCGCGTCCAAGTGTCTCCGTGTGGTCTATCGAGCAAATCTCCGTTTGCTGCCCGATTTGGACCGGGCTTCGTGCACGAATTCCTGCAGGTTTAATCTGGTTAACGTGGTCAATTCATTGCCTTCGAACGAATACTTGAAGGTCCCAGAGATTGACGTGGCGGAGCGTGGGGCACCAGCAGCGGGCGTTTTCTGGAAGTTCGCGTCAGCCCTTTTTTCTGCGAAAACAGTTGATCATTGTATGATAGAAAACAATACGGCACGTGAGAAAGTTATAAATGAATGTGCGCAGCGTGCGGAATGACTACAAAGCTGCAATGAAGGAAACTTCTTCAGCTCTTGGGGTCCCCAGTGTACCTTCTGTGCGAGGCATCGGCTTCCTTTTGCCGTTCCAAGACCGGTGTGTGCAGGGGGCATCGGGACCTCGCCTTTGCCTCGCCACTTACTCCAACCGGCCGCTGGCGCCGCCGCTCGTCAAACGGGGGCAGCGCCACCCAACCCGTCCCATCTATGGCGCAGTGTCCGAGTCGCCTCGATGTCTGTTACTGCTTTCGTACTCAAAGGAACGTGGCCTTTCGAACTGTTACTGGACCAAATGTAAAGTGGTATCTTCTGCACAAACTGGGTTGACAAATAGCGTTCTGTAAACATTGAAGCGTGCAAGATTCTGTCTTCAAGATGGCAACAATCCTGACGAACACACAACTGCTGGGCGTGCAGAAACACGGGCAAACATCAGCTTTTCTGACCCGTGTGGTCCGCCGCCGACGTCAATCGGCCTCGACGCTCGGGCTGCTGACCAGCCTTGCGTGGGCGGCGGCGGTGTCGTTCGCTTCTCCCGATGCGTCGCGGCCGCGCCGCCGCCGCCGCGTGATCGTCACGGGGTGCCCGCCCGCCGTTGCGTACTGGCCGGGCGCTGTTGCCACGGCTGCGGCGGCGCTGTATCGTCCGCGGTCGGCAGTCGGCCGGCGCGCTTTGCAGCGGTGCGCTCCACGTGTCTCTGACGTCCGGACCGGCCGCTGCGGGCCGCCGTGATGACGCGGACGCGGCCAGATGGGCGTGGATGGGGGCGGGCGGCTCTAAAGTGTCCGGTCATCATCGCCGGCTGCGTTATGGCCTTGTGTCTCGCTTCTGCCATCAGCTTCATGTAGAGTGCCGTCGTCGCGGTCAGCGATGAGGTGTTAACGGGTCTAACGGTCGTGCCAGACTTGACGATCTTGTTTGTAGTCTCGTTCCGCGTTCCATCGCGTTACCGCCGTGTTTGCCGGCCGTTTCAGGCACATACCGAAGCCGAAGGCGACGACGGTGGCCGAGACCCCGGAGCTGGCGCGGATCGCTGAGAACACGAAAATCCAGAGTAACGTGAGTATCGATGCTGGCCTGGCGCCACCGGCCTACGCTGGCCGGAGCGGGGCGGTGTGCTGGCACGGCGCAGACTGCCCGGCCGAGGCATGCTACGCCAGAGGGCAGCGGCGCTCTGGCCCGCTGGGCACCCCGGCACCAGACCGCGGCCGCAAGCGCCGCCCTCAGTCGGCTGCATGCTCCAAGAGACAGGAGCCCATCTTGATCTCCCGACAAGGCAGGTGACCTCGGGCTGTCCCGCGACACGCATCGGCGGCATGTTCAAGACTTCCGACGCTATCTGGCTCGGCGCAGGAGGCATACAAAAATGCTCCGGAGGCACGCAAGCATGCATTCATGAATACATCGAAACAAGTGTTTCGTACCCACGCAGGTGTGTGTCGGACTCGGAACAAAGCGAGACGCACTTTCCTCGTGGTCTGTTCGATCCTACGTCACTCCAGAAAAACCGGCACAAAAACACCGGGTTGTTCCTCACTTTCTAGCGCTCTACGTTCGGATTGCGTTGCGACACCTACCGTACGTGCCCAAAGCCCACAGTGCACCGTTTTGGGCGTACGTTTTACAGTGTTTTTGACCAAGTTGGGCTCACGGAAACAGATCACACGACATCTGTGAGAAGGAAGTAACACTGGACATGCCAAATGGCGCTAGTTAATACAGGACAAGGATGGGAGATCGTTGCCAGTGAAGGGGGTGTAAAACTAGGCGAAGCGAACTGACGCACATTTTGGCATCGTTGTCTCGCCCAAGACTGGTTGTGCGCTTTGCATGTGGCTTACTTACTGCACAGAAGTCATGTGGTCGTATACCAGCACGGCTCGCTCTCGCGGGGGTGCGTGGCGTGGCGTCTTGTTCGAGGCGCGGCCGCTGCTGCACCCGTGCGCGCCCCACGGCCGCTCGTGACGGCGGCCGTGCAGCGCGCGCCGGCCCGGCCGCTGCGCAGTGGGACCGCGCTCTGCAGAGGCCGCCGGCCGCGCCGTTGACACGGCGGATCGCGGCGCGGCGCCAGAGTCGTCCCGCGCCGGCCGCTGACCGCCGCGGCCGGCGGCAGTGTCATCCGCGGCGGCGGCGCCGGCGGCCGGCCGCCCGGCCCTTCTCCATATACGGCCGGGCGGCGGCGGCAGCGGCGGCGACGGCCGGCCCACCGCTGACGCTGCAGCCGGGCCCGGGCGGCCTTTGACCGCGGCGGCGGCGCCGGACGCGGTATGCGGCAGTGTCGCCGGACGGGCGGCCGGCGGCGGCGAGGCGTCGACGCCGCGGAGCCGGCGGATGGGTGCGGCGCTCGCCGCCGGGACGGTCGGGAGCGGGTCGCCCGCGCCCCGGTCTGCCGTATCGCGGATGACTGGCGGCGCGGCGGCGGCCTCGCCCGCGTCCGGTCCGGACTCACGCCTGGCCTTGCCGCGCTGCGGGAGCGCCGCACCAGTGACGTCATCGGCCACGGCGGCCGCGGCCTGCTGACCCAGTGTGCGGACAACTGCGGTCTGCCGACGGCGGGCTTGATAGCGACGGGTCCGACGCCCGGACGGAGCGCGGGTCCACTGACGTCGCGTCCACGAGCTAAATTAGTCGGCTGAGCCAGGGCTGAAGCATTGTCCGCTGACGTCACTGTCGCCTCCGATGTCCCGTTCTGCCCGCCGACGAGAGGCGGGACCGTTTCCTCCGGCGCACCACGCCCGCCACAGACATGTAAAACGTGCCAACTGAACCGCGAACCACTGACGTCACTTGTCGCCTCGCGACATCGTCCCGGCACCGGCGTCTGCCTGCCGCTGGGCTGGCCGTTCGGCGTGGCCGCCGTCCGGGCCAACGTTGACCACTGGTCCCCGCCTTGCCGCGTGCTCTGGTTCGGGGGGTTCGGCTGCTGCCTTCAGCCGCCGTGCTCCGGTGCCGTGGTGCTGACGTGATGGTTTGGTGTTGGCTATTGTTCGCCGACCGTCGTGCTCCACGTTTGGACACCTGCGTGGGATGCCGAGCTCACGTCGTTCTGGTGTCCGCCAAGGTTTTCCGGCAGTCACGTCTCCCAAGTTCACGGTGATTTCCAATTTGCAGCACCTCACCATTGCTGAGCTTGAGCCCGCGCCCCATGGGCCCGTTTCTTGGAACATCGCTGGCAATGGGCGATATGCTCACGCGTTGGTATCGCATCGAGCTTAAGCTGCGGCCCAGTGGTCGGCACACAATCGCTGCATCGCTAACCACCATTCCGGCTTAGGGTCAGTTGGAATGCACTCACTAAGTCGGGTGGTAAAAACCAATTCCACGTCCATATCGGGCTCTCACAGCCATATTGGGATGTTTGATTTCGCCATACCCGGCCTTTGCCTTTGACAGCGTTCGACGCTGATGCGCCTGAGGGCGCAACGGGTGAGGTTTCACCGGCGTCCGGGAGGCAGCGTGACGCCGCAGCTCGGCGCACCGGCCGGATCCCGCCTCGGCGCCAGCCGCGCGCCCCGGCCGCCGCGCCGCTGGCACGCGCCGGCCAGAGAGAGAGAGAGAAAGTGGTCGCCGGCCGCGCCCCGACCGGCCGACCGGCCGGTCCGCCCGCTCGTTCGCTCGCTGGAACCCCGGCCGCGCCGGAAGACGCCGGCGTGTGTCGGATGTCGCCGCTGAGTCACCGTCGCCCCCGCCGCCGCCGCCGCCGCCCCCGCCGGCGGCCGTCGGCCCGTCTGCGGGCGGCCCGGTTGCCGACGGCCGGGTATTTGCGGCCGGCAGCCGCCGCTGGCACGGCCGGGCTGGGCCGGCGGCGTGGCCGTCCGGCGCGCCGCCCGGCCCGGGCCGGCCGTATAAGGCCGCCGGCGCCGGCCACCTCGCTCGCGCTCTCTCTCTCTCTCTCTCTCTCTCCCAGGCCGCTGGCGCTGGATTGCGGCCAGTGCGGCCGGCCGGCCGGCCGCCGCCCCGAGCGGCAGGAATGCACCATGAGCGGGTCGCCGCCGGCCGGGTCAGGGCGCGGCCGCCGCCGATGGCGCCGACGGGCGTTCTGTTCTGCAGGCGGCGGGCCGTCGGTCACGGGCTGCGCGCAGTCTGAAAGAGCAGGCGTGGTTCCTGCCTTGATGAAGGTATTTTGGTGGTCGCGTTGCCAGTGACGTACACACATGCCACGTGCTCTAGGTCCACGCCCTGCCTCGCCACCGGGAGGCGGCGAAATCGTTGTCTTACGACCACAAAACGTCGTGGATAGATCGCATGCTAATGAGCATTGATCAGCAGCGCATTCAGTGCAGTGAGACAAACCTTTTTTACGCCTCAGAACCATTGGCTGTTTGTCAGAAGGTTTGCAGCATTTGTGCTTGCTGCAGTGGCATGCTATTACGTACGCGGCGGGTTTATGCGGGGGGGGGGGGGGGGATGGAGACAGTGGTTTTCGGACAGTAGTGTGGTTGATGCTGCAGTCATGGATCCTATGGCCGTACGTAATACCGTGTACGATCTCCTGTTAGGGACCTGGTTTGTATAGTTTCCATTTCATTAGTATGTATATCCTGAAGCCAGTGGTAGTAGTAATCGTTCATGGAAAGACGTCCACAGGCACGTGAACAATGCGGCTGTCCAGATCACGTTCCAGGTGAGGAGGAATAATGGCCATTCATCTCCTTCAAACACCTGAGGCTATCTCAAGCTTCGTTCAGGCGAAAGACGGTTGCCTCAGATGCCGTGAAGTCAACACTGTGTTGCTGTGGGTCCCCATAGAAGAGAGACCTTCTCAGCTCAGAGGGCTTCACTCCAGCGCTTTAGCGAAACGTAAACTGGAGGCCCGCAGTGATGTCACGATGGCCTAGTCGGGAAGCGTCATGTGTAAACAAACACAGGCGGCTACAGAAGGATCAATTATGAGCGGGGAGGGGCGCTGACTGCAGTTCTAGAGGGTCCAGCGGGCTAGGTTTTCAGCTTATGGAAACTTGGTGGGTAGGTATCTGATTTCAAAATTTGGTTGCATGTTTGTTTTTGCGAACCCATGCTGATATTTTACCAGCTACTTTGGATACGCAAAGGCTTGAAGGTGTGTATGCCATTGCGGCGCGGTTCTTAACAAACAGCGTCGTTACGAACTCTTGTTTTAGGTGCTCACCAAAAAATGAGTGCAGCTTATTCTTGCTGAATTTCGCGGCTCCTTGGGAACATGACCACATTGCCAAAAAGGGCCTGATTTAGTGGAGGATGCAACGACGTCATTTAATACCTTTATACACCAGATTTTTTCGCTTCGCTGGCAGCTGCCTGCTCTACTCTGTTCCATAGCCAAGGATAGCTTCTCGGTGGCATTGGGCGCTGATAGTGTAGTGGTAAGCGCATGTGCGTTAACCACTGCGCGTCTGGGCAACCAGAGGTACAGGGCTCGATTCCCCCGGTGCTCGCCGTTCCAGCCAGGCCGCGAGGCAGACGACGCCATGGAGCCTCAGCAGCTGAAGGCGTCGTAAAGCCCCAGTGGCACACTCTTGTCGGCGGTATGCCTGTGACGAGCTTCAATTTCGGCAGCGCTGGTCATTGTTTTCACCAAAGGTCTGTGTATGCTGTTTGCTGACCTTGTCGAGGGACGTTGCTGGCGTTGCACGGACGGGCCCCTCTGTACGGTGCTAGTGCGATGCCTCCGAAGCGTGGCGACCGGTCGGAGCGGGTGTTTATAAGACAGCCATCGCCGCTGTTGATCTGGAACCCCGTGTCAGGCCCGTCTGCCCGCAGCACAGCACACCGCTCGGTACTTCCTTCGAAGACGAGCTTATAGTGCCCCTGCTGACGTGCGTCGCATTCCCCTTTCAAGTCACCCGCGCAACGTTCTTGGGCAGCATTCTACGTAAGTGCGTAGATTGCTGCCCGAGAACGTGGAAATACTTGTGCAGACTCACACAGTCGCGCGCTGTCAGCTCGACCCGATGGGCCGCCGGACAACGTGTGGTATTTATTGGTTCTACGTTCTGAATCAACAATCAGTCAAACAATGAACTCGTCAGTGTCATCAACAGCATGACATCATGTGAGATAGGAATGGTTCGTTTGTGCGGAATTGTTTAAAGTGCTGATGGTTTCCGAGTGCTCAACAGAAAATCTGTCCGGGTCCGTGAGCTGCCTGTCGTGCTGTGACCACGGCCACTACTGACCGTGATCACAGTCAGGTCCCGAGGAGGCGCGCGTCAAACGAACCGTGTCGTCATATGTGTGTGTGGTCGGCACGACGCTCCGATTTCGTGACGTCACTGGAGCCCATCGCCAGCTGGTGTGTGTGTGTGTGTGTGTGTGTGGTTGGAGTTGCCCGTGACCCCAGACCGTGCGCGTGACGCGAGCCGCGGCCTCCAGGTCAAGTTACCATGCCGAGTTCGAGGCGGCCAAGGGCAAGTTCACCACGGTGGCCGACGACCCCGAGACGCTGCGCATCAAGCAGAACACGAAGATCATCAGGTAAACCGGCCGGTCCTGACTGCTCCGGCGGTGAGCGGCCACACATCGTTTCACATATGACGGCCTGTGCGTGAGCTTGGGTGTGTTGAATCGCTGTGAATGTCTGTACGGTCATGAGCGTTTGGCGTTTTTGTGACGGACTTCCGCGGCCGTCACCGGTGTGCGTGACTATTGTGACGCCGTGCGGACGCCCTGTGAGCCGGATATGTATGACGGGAGCGGACGTGCGGGTGGCGCGCGGGCAGCGCCATCTGTCGCCGCCGCGGCCGGGCGTGTGGTGCTGACCGTTTCTCCGCGCGGCAGCAACGCCGCCTACCACGGCGACCTGGAGAAGAAGGCCGACATGGACCAGCGGCGCCACCTGACGGGCGAGGACGGCGACCCAGGTAGATACCGCTTTCTCGCACAACCGCCGGCTGGCGCACAAGTTTAACACGCTCAACTCTTACCTGACGCGCGGAGCCAGGACGAGCTGCTGGCGATGGCGGAGCGGGCGCGGCGGGCGGGCGCGGGACCCGAGCCGGAGCCGAGCCCGAGCCGGCGGAGGCGAGGGCGGGGGCGGGGGGCGGGGGCGGGGGCGGCCGGGACCGGGGATGGGCGGCGGCGGCGGCTGCGGCCGCGCCGCGAGGACGGCCTGAGCGGTGGACGCTGGGGCTGGCGCGCCAGAGCCTGGCCCGGCGAGATGACCGAGAGCCGTGCCGAACGGCTCGAGACCAATGTCGCTCGACGAGTGGAAGGCTAGCCGCTGCAACGTGGCGCGCGTGTGCGACACGTGGCGCCGGCTGCAGGAGCAGAGCGACGCCAGCGGCCGGGCCGCCGGCGGCCGCCGCGCCGCCGCCTCACCGTGCAGCAGAGCACCGATGGAGACGGCCGAGCCGGGCCGGCGCGGCTACCGGCGCCATCTGATACAGGACCTGGACGGTGTGACGCGGCGTGAGGTGGTGCTGCGCGAGGCGCGGCGCTCCGAGCGCGGCACCGTCGACACGCAACAGCTGAGCAGCCTGCTGACGTACGGCCTGGACGCCGGCCGCGTCTCCGAGCGTATCGACGTGGTGAACACGCGTCTGGAGCGGCCCGACGGCGCCAGCCAGCAACTGGAGCGGGTGCAGCTGCTGCGGCTCACCACGCTGGATGGGCGGCCCCCGCCCGGCGAGGAGGACGCACCGCCGCCGGACGCCGCGCCGCGTAACGGGCTGCGCGGCTCAGCCGGCCCCGGCGCCGGCACCACCGCCACTGCGCGCAGGCGCAAGTTCGCGCGCACCGGCAGCGACGCGCTGCTGGAGGACGTGGCGCAGCTGCAGCGCGAGGCGCCGCGCCCGGCCGCCGACGACGACGATGAGGGCGGCTCGGAGGCGCAGCGTCGCGCCGCGCACAAGGAGCGCCTGCTGCGCCGCATCATGAGCAAGTACGGCGTGGGCGAGTACCTGTTCGAGCAGGATGAGGACGAGGCGGACACCGAGGACGAGGCGGACGAGCTGGAGCCGGACGAGCCCGTCGACGAGCTGGCGCCGGTGTACGACTTCCCGCAGCTGTTCGGCACCCGTCCGTGCGGCGCGTGCTACGATGAGATCCTGAGCGCCACGGCCGGCGACCCCGTTGCCGAGCAGCTGCTGCCCTTCCTCCTGGGTGCCTTCGGCACGCACAACCATCACGTGCTGTTCTGCTGGGACGACGAGCAGGCCTGGAGCGATGGTTCGGATGAGGAGCTGGGGGCGGTAGACTGAGGTCTGGTTTCCCCCGCCCGCCCGTTCGCCCGCTCGCTCGGCCGCCCGCCCGCCCGCTCGCCCGCTCGCTCGCTCGCTGTTGCTTGCCTTGCCGCCTCGCCGTGACGGAAATGCTCTTCGCAGACGACGCCTCCCTGGACGGTGCTGGCTTCTCTGGGCTTGGCGCTGTTCACGCCGGCGGGGTTCTGTTGGGATGGGGGCTGTGGCGTGGGCCGCACCTTCTGGTCAGCGCGCGGCCCTGACGGTGATCCTGGCTGAGCTTTTGTACCTTGTGTGGGACAGTGGTCAGTGAGCTGTGATATGGAAGGCCGTCCAGGGCTGACCGAGGCGCCGATCGCGTTGTTTTCGGGGCCGGGCCCCGCTGCGGCGTCCCTCCGCACGCCGTGCTGTGACCCGGGACGCAGCGCCGGGCCCGGTTGCAGAGCACTGAGGCGCCGCTCTGTTCTAGTTGTGCGAGCGCGCGGCGCGTGAGAGGTAAACATGACGCCTGTCAGCGTCCGACCTAGAGCGTGTGTAGAGTGCGCGCGCCGCGCGGCGTGGCGCCGCCTCCGGCGCTGCTGGGTGTGATCCGCTGTCGCCAGTCGCTGGCCCCGGTAATATAGAGGCGCTCGCTCGCTGGCTCTGTGGTGTTTGTGGGCCGGCCGGCCGGGCCAGGCCGCGCCCCTCAGGCGGCGCCGCAGCCCACCTAGGAGATCGGCTGGAGCATGCGGCAAGCTACGAGCCGGGGCTTGGTTTGTGGGCGTGTGTGCTGCCCTTTTCCAGCTAGGCTCGGACGTGGCACGTGCTGTGATTGGCTGCCTTCAGAGGCATTTGGGAATGCTTGTCCCCGGTCTGGTTTATTTTGACGCGTTATTTGAGTTTGGCCTAGAGGTGGCTGTCGTGTGGTGTCGTTTGCTCAATTCTAGTGCGTTTCGGTTCGATCGATGACCAGGCCCTGGCCGCGTCGCCGCCTATCCCGCCCCGGTATCCGGATCTCCTCCACGGACTCCCGTCCGCCGGCACAATTTCAGATGCTTCCCACGAACTCCTCCGTTATTTGACGTAAAACGACCACATTCAAGACGCTGGTCGAGCTGCTGAAAGGCTGCTGTTTTTTAACCGACATTAAAAGGAGAATCCAGTGGCGCCACAAGATGTGGGTTGCGTATGTTTAGGCCTAGGTCGTACGGGTTTCCCAAATTTGGGTAGTCTTGCAGATGCCTTGCTGCACCGCAGACGCACATGTTCTCATTTTGTCCCGTACGACCTATGGAGGGGCATACGCGCCACATCAGGGTCGCCCACTTGGATTCATCCTGCCTAACAGTCCTGTATTATGTTCAGTCCTGTGTTCCAGTGTGACCGCTTGACTGTCTTGTTTTTCGTACCATTTGGCTGTCGCTTGCTCCCGTGTGTTGTCTACCTGCTTTGTTTTGTCCTCAGGCCGTCGGCAGGCAGTTTCATAAGCGAAATAGTCAATTTGCATTCTTCTATTGTCGGTGGTCTAGTCGGAGGGTTCCTTCTACAGTTACTTTCAGCACGAAATTCTTGTACATGTGTTTCTTAAAAATGTGTTTTATGTGACTTATCACGTTTACAATTCTGCTATTCGTGGTGTCATTGAGATACATTTGGCATACCTCTTCATAAACCCCCTGGATGGCATAAGTACATGCCGCTTGAAGTTGTATCGCGCACAGTTGTACGCTCAAATTGTAGTGTCATCACCGGCACGTGCCGGTGTCGGTGTTTGATGAGGCTGCCTGTCGGCGCGCCGTCGGCCCGTGTCCGCCTGCCGTGCCGTCCGCCCGGCCCCGCGTGTCGAGCGAGCCTGGCCGTTACCGCCTGGCGCCGGCCGTCTGTGTTTTAGCCGCCTCCCAGCCCGCTATCGCGCCGCCGGCCTCGCGCGCCGACAAGCCGCCGGCCGCCGCCGCCGCCGTCTCGCACGCGCACGCCGCCCGGCTCAGCAACAACAACTACGGCGGCGCCGGCGTGTCGCCCCACTCCGCGCGCGGCTCGCAGGCCGCCACCACCATATACACGTCCCAGCACGGCGCAGGTACAGTCAGGGGCCCTGCTCG